AAAAAAAAAAAAAAAAAAACAAATTGGCTGGGCGGGCAAGTGCCCAAGTTTGCCTTTTACTATCTACGGCTCTACATTAAACATAGAAATATTACATTTTCCTAGATTTCCGACGGTACCCCCCTTTTGCGGGTATATACGGTCATTACGCCCTATCATTATGGGTGTGGATTATTATTTCTGTCCAAATAATTCTTGAGCTCCTAGTTTGTATAAGCACGCCGCTGAATCAAGCAAATTTTCTCTCAGTTCTCGAGATGCACTTATTCAAACTTCCATTGTTTTCCTTTCTAGAAACGGGTAAACGGCAGCAGGAATATTAATGGCCACATGACTAGTTTTTCCACCATTTACTACGTTTTCTGTTTTCTCTTGTACAAAAGATAAAAGGAAGATGGAAAGCGCTGAATCTTTAATTCCATTTGTTCCCCAATTTCATTTTTGGTAAAAATTGGGATTGTAGTCTTCTACTGACGACAGTCGTAGCAATGGAGCTCGGAGCCTTAAAGTAGGTGCCGTGGAGCCTCAGAGCCCCACGTCGTTGGCTTTGGAGCCCTGGAGCCACTGTCAGGTTTTAGGCCCGGAGCTCTGGAACCCTAAAACCCTTTAAGACCTTGATTATGGTGGCTATTTAAGCAATTATTTCTCATGCTAGTAAGGTGGTTAAACTTGACTTGTTAAAATCACTAAGCAACTATTATCGGTAGTAATCAAGGTTATCAGCCTGGACGAAAGTTTATTTTTAAAAGAATTTTATCTTACTTGGAAAGCCTGTAATTTATGTTCCATTTATAAATCATTTTTTTGTAGGCAGGGAGTTCAAGACCAGCATTTAACTTGTCCTGCCGACTGGGAGGGTTTGGACCGAGATCGGGTAAATAAGAACTTGAAGCATGTTAGCATGTGACCCAGGGTCAGATATGGAAATGTCTGTTATGGACTTTTGCCCCTTCTTGATATCTCTTTGACATATACCTAGATCTAAAATAAGTGCTTGCAAACTTTCATTCTTTGCAAATAGTCTGTATCTTACCCTATCTGTTCTCCTAGATCAGTAGCTCGAATAAAGCATGGTTCGTTCCTTGTCTTTTCATTTATAGAGCTTTATAGCATAGGAAATCCCCGGTTGAAACTTTT